CTTATTATATGAAATGTTAAAGGGACTTATCTAAGAAAAAGAAGTTAAAGAAACATGAACAGTGAAAGGACAACAAACTCACAGTTATTAACAACCACACCTAAAACAAAAGCAAACTAAAAGGACAGCTAGATCAGGAGTGGAAACATAGAAATGAAGATCTCAAGGAGGGTTAGCAACGGGGGAGTGGGAGGAGGAGAAGGGGGGAGAAGGTACAGAAAATAAGTAGCATAGACAGTAGATAGAAAATAGATGGGGGGAGGGTAAGAATAGTATGGGAAATATAGAATCTAAAGAACTTGAGACACGTGGTCATGAACTAAAGGGGGGGAATGGTGGGGGTTGGGGGGTACAGGGTGGAGGGGAATGAAGGGGGGAATAGAACAACTGTAACAGCATAATCAATAAAAAAATTAAAAAAAAAAGAATTCAGCATCACGGGGTTGGAGAGACCGTGGGAAACAGGCTGTCTCGTACTGAGGATGGGGAGCTGGGACAGGCCCGGCAGCAGATGGTTCGGCGGTAGTCACCCAGTTTACAAACACACGGTCCTTTCGCTCTAATGATAACACTTCTGTGATACTTCCTGCATGAACAAAAAGCATCTACACAGGTACTTACTGTAACATTGTTCAAACCAACCAAGTTGGAAACAACCCAATGCCCACCGACCGAGGGCACCTTGTGGCCCATCTATACAATGGGATACTCTCCAGCCCCTAAGAAGAATGAGGAAGTTTTCAACACAGTAATTTGGAAAAAATCCCCAAGCTACAATTAAGTGATAAAATACAAGGTCATGTGTATTGTATGCTACATTTCATGTTTAAAAAAACAAACAGAAATATTTGTGTTTGTACAAAGAAACTCAAGGATACACTAGAAATTAATAAAACCTTCCCTCCAGCTGAGGGTGTGACGGGAGGAGGGGCCTGGGCCGTGAAATGGAGAGACTTTCCTCTGTGTGTCCCTCGTCACCATAGTTTTAATTTATGAAACATGTAAGTATATTACTTGTTCAAGTTTTAAATAAAAAGGCTAAGTGACAAAGAAAACTCACATTACAAACACAGACAAAGCTATGTTAGGTAAGTGCAAAGTAGAAAACAGTAACAGTGATATAAGAAATCATTAAAATTGTGGCCAACCCAGTCAGGGCACATGCCTGGGTTGCAGACCAGTTCCTTGCAGACCAATTCCCAGCAGGGGACGCATGAAAGGCAACCATACATTGATGTTTCTCTCCCTCTCTCTTTCCCTTCCCCTCTAAAGATAAATAAATAAAATCTTTAAAAAAAAAAGATTAAAAAAAAATTGTGGCCAAGAGCATGAAATGGAACAAAAGGGGGTACCTTTATTTATTAAAATATATAATACTCCACAGTGAGGAAGGGTTTTATGTATTAAATAATAGGGCAATGAAATAGATGATATACAAACAAAAGGAGAGGTTGATATAAACAAAAAAGTAGTATCATTATCAACTGGAAAGTTTATATATAAATATACATTATTTCAATATGTACATATTATTTAAAATATGTTGTATATGTATTATGTGTGTATATAATAGAACATATATAACAGCAGACTAATTAAGTATAAAAAGATAGATCCTAATAAGAGAACACACATCTTATTTTTAAAAGTTTATAGAATTTCACCTTTAAGTGGAACCTGATCAACAAAACAAACAAGCAAGCAAAATACAACCAGAGACATTGAAATACAGACCAAACTGACACTAACCAGAAGGGACAGGGAAGGAGGATAATGGGGGAAAGCAGGGAAAGGGTCAAGTCCAGGAACATGCATGAAGGACCCATGGACAAAAAGCCGCAGGCGGGAGGATTGAGGGTGGGAGGTGGGTGTGGCTGGGGCGGGGGAAAGTGGTGGTGGGAAAATGGAGACAACTGCAATAAAAAATATATAGAACACATATAAAGTAAATTCTAAAAATAGTATATACACAAACTATAGACTTTAATTAAACCAATGTCCCCTACATTCCTGCAAACAGAAAAAGGAAAAACCCTCCAGTATGAAAGAAAAGCCCCAGCAAGCACAGGGGTGTGTGTGAAAGGACTGCCTGGCAGGGAGAACGAGGCGCCCACGTGCCTGGGGTGTGGGAGGCTGATGGGAAGTGGGGACAGGGGAGTGTGAAAAGGCCATCCATCGGGGCAGGTCACAAAGGGCCTTGAATGCTTCCTCCTTCTGTGGGTGGTGGAGAGTAGCCAGAAGTTTCTGAGTAGGACCGTGAGGTCAGGACTGTCAGAGGGTCAGCTGCCTGAGCCCCTCTCACTGAGGTGGGAAAGGGGGGTGGTTGGGGAGTGGTGGGCTCCTAGGAGGACCTGGAGAGAGGTGGTGTGGGCAGCGCTGGCTCTGGGGGCCTGGGGCTGGGGCGAGGGGTGCAGCCTGGGCCTGTTTCTCCTCCTTAACCCATTTCCTACTTCCTGCAGGCCACCTCCTCACCCCCTTCATGACTGAGGGGGACTGGGAGGCAGCTCCTGGCACCTCCCCAGTCACCATGAGGCTTTTCTATCCAGCCATCTGGCCCAGCCCCCGCAGGGGCCTCTGTGTTCAGGTCTTTGTGTCTGCACAGTGGCCCTCTTTGTCCTGAGCAGCATTCCCCCTACCCCGCCCCCACACACCTCCCCTCTGCCCTTCACACACACTCTTTCCTTTCTCTCTCCCCCCGCCCCAAACCTGTGTTACAAAAACACCAGACAGAGACCAGGGTCAGGGCTCTAATCCTGGTTTCCCCAGTGGAGTCTCTGAGCAAGTCATTTTGCTTCTCTGAGCCTTAGTTTTAGGTATGTGAAAGTGAGCTGCACAAGAAATCAAACTCCTGCAAGAATTAGCCTGCTACTCTGTGCTACGGGGCTGAGACCTAAATAACAAATGACATCCTTGGGGACCCATACTGAACCCTCATGCTGTCCACTGGACCTTCTTCTTATTTCTACAACCTCATCCTCACCACTGCCTGGCTAGCTGGTGCTCGTCATTCTCCCATTTGACAGATGAGGAGACCAAGGCCCAAGGACAGATCTGGCCTCTTGCGTGGGTAACCTGTCCAGTTACACAGGGCCCCACATGTTGAAAGCCCCGCATTTGATGTAAGGCTCTGCTACACCATCTTGACATTCTTACTAGTTCTTGAACAAGAGGCCCACATTTTCTTTCTATCCTGAGCCCCAGAAATTGTGTGGCTGGCCCTGCTTGTGGGGAGGTGGAGCAGACGCTTGCCGAGGCCCAGACCAAGCTTCCTGCCTCCAGGGCTGCCTCCCCTGGGTACCTGCATTCTGGCATGCTGAGAGCCAGGGCTTCCAGGCTGCAGTCGGCAACCGAGGCCCGGCCCCTGCCTGGGAAACCTGAGGAGTGCTGTTCCCAGTTGGTGAGGGAGGCAGGATGGTCCTGCAGAGCAGCATGGCTGGATCAGAGGGGAGGGGGCGGGGGCGGGGGAGGGCCTGGCCTTGCAGGCCGCAGAGTTGGGCTTTATCTTGAGGGTGTTGGGGCTGCCAGAGGGTGTAAGGCAGGCACTGCTTAGGAGTAGTGACAGACGCCAGTGGCCTGTGAAGGAGGGCTTGGAGGTGTCGAGTCTCAGCTCAGCGAGGGGGCGGAGCCAGGGCCCAGGCTCCCCTCCGGGCAGACTCTCAGAGCCGGTTTCTCAGGGGAGCTGATGGAAGGTGACAGAGGGAAGATGAGAAGGCTCAAGAGAACCAAATTCCTCCTCAGGGTTGGCGAGCGGGAAGCGTCCTAATGCGTGGGAGAAGCGCTCCTGGGTTGCCCTCCCATATCCTAACCTGCTGCTGTCATGGGAACCCCTCTCCCCCGGCCCCTCCCCCTCCCACGTGGGGCCCCACAGGTGACCAGACCTTCACCACTAGCCACCTCTGTTGCACGGACCCCCCCCCCCCGGGTGTTATTTCACCCTTGCAGACGGGTTTGTTGTGGGGCCACTTGCTGGGCTTCCATTTCTTGGCTGAGTCAATGGGTCTAAAATCTTTTAGCTACGAAAAGCCCTGTATTTTCTTAAACAAACTCTTACCAGAAAATGTAAATAAATACAGACAAAAGCAAAGGTGCTCAGGCTGAAGTGTGATGAGGTGCTCCTCAGGCAGCCCCAAGAAAGGGGGGACTCAGCTGAGGCATTTGGAGCCTACTGGACTTGCTTTCTAAAGCCCGGTTATGAGAGTGTCTGGGGAAGGCGTCGGGGGACTCAGACTGAAGGCCCCTCGTTAGAAGGGATACTAACCTTTGATCCCAAGCAGCTCAGAACCATGGGCAAAACCCTGAAAAACGATGGGCCAGTGAGAAATGGATTATTATTATTATTTTGATAAGAGGAAACTGAGGTTCCAAGAGTCTGAACCTGAAGCTAAGGCTGTGAGGTTCAAGGACGATCCCTTTCCTCTGCTCCTCAGGCCTCACTGAACCTCCTCTGTGGCCTCAGACCCCGCGTGTCTTGGGGATGCAGTTTCTTTGGCTATAATGTAACAGAGATGAGCCAGAGCAGGAGTGGGACCCTGGGCTCTCCACCCTCCAATCAGCTGGAGGCTGAGGCAAAGCCCTGGGTCCTCGTCTTGGTATCTAAAGATTTTTTCCTCTTGGCCTAAATAGCAGGTATAGCAGAAGTCTGAAGGAAGAAGAAAGAGAGGGGCTGGTTGGGCCTCCAGTGCCCAGGGGACTTCCCACTGGGACCCTAAGGCCCAGGATCCATGAATAGGGGCCATAAGGCTTCCTAGTTCACTGGAAGCTGCAGAGACCAGCTTGGACAATTGGTGGAGGAGGCTGGACAAGAGGCCTTTGTGTCTCCCAGGCAGAGGTCTCTAGGGGACTGCAGAGGTGGCTCACTACACAGGGCTCTGTGTCCATTCTATTCCTGCTCTTGGCAAGGCTACAGCCAGCATCCTTCCTGGGCCCCTCCTGGGGCCAGAAGCCAGGTGCCAGTCAGCTGATGAGGAGACCAGCTGGACCCAAGGCCCCAGGGCCCTGAGCAATCTCCTTGGCTCCAGAAAGAGGCCCACTGTGCACACATCCAGACACTGACTGTCCAAAGCCCAGATGGATGGACACTGGTTGGCAAGAGGGTGAGTGTGATTGCCTCTTCTTCACAGAAAAGGAGGACCTGAGAGGGACTGAAACTGGGTCAAGGTCGCCCAGAGTCAGTGCTAAAGCTGAACCACCACCTACCTTCCTGGCGCCTAGACCAGAATGAGAGGGGCGGGGGACATTCATTCATTCATTCATTTGTCCATTCATTCACACTTTCAACAATTCCTGGGACCTCTGGGACGGCAGTGGGACTGAGGCAGACGTGGTCCCTGCTCTCCTGGAGCTCACAGTGGGGGAAGGCGTCCTTGAAGGCACCAAGCAGTCAGAGTGGGGTTGAGGGCAGAGAAGGGAGAGAGGCGGGGGTGGCTGGAGTGCTCTGAAACTGCAGCTCGAGGGAAGCAGCCCAAGATGAGGGACAAAAGGAGAGGGGTGTTCAGGAAATTTCTAGTTACTCTCTCTGAATGAGACTACGCAAAGGCAGCATAGATGAGGCTCCCTCCACCCTCCTCTCGGAGCTGGAGAGAAGCAAGACCCTGATTTCCGGCCACCTCTCCCCTACCGGATCTCAAGCAAGGGAGGCGAGTTCTCGGACTGTGGCTCTAAGCAGGTCCCTGGGAAGAGAGGGAATAGGTTCATGGCGAGGTCTCGAGGTGGGCAGCGACAGGAGCCACACAAGCACTAGACAAAATTTGCAAAATTTTAGCGTTTCTGAAGACCTCGGCCTGGCGGTAGGACGGTCGCCGCCGGCCCCTCCCGGTGCAGCACCCGTAGACGCGCGGACCCTGCCGCCCATTGCCTGGCAGTGTCCCGAGAGGGTGGCTGGGAGTCTGCACGGGGCGGGGCGGTTCCAGAGTCTGTTCAGAGTCTGTTCGGCCCCGCCTGACCCGGCCGGGGTGGGAGCTCCGCCGAGTGGCCGGCAGACCGGCGGGCGGGCGGGGCCCCCTGGCACGTGGGTCCCCGCTGCTGCGGAGGCGGAACGCGGGTGAGGGCACTGGGAGCGTGGGCCGCTGCGCGGTGGGTGGATGAACACCCGCGGAGGTGAAGGGCGGGTCACCTGGTGGGGCCGGAGGCGGGGAGAGGTGGGCGGGCGCGGCCGGGGACGCGGCGGTGCCTACTGAATACTGGGAAGGCAGAGCGGTGAGCTCGTGTGGCCGTCCGAGTGGGGCGCGGCTGCGAGCCCGTGGGGGCGCACTGGGGGGCTGTGGTCGAACTCTGTCTCCACTGAAGCATCGATCTCGGGGAGTGTGGACGGGCGCCCCGGTGAGTGTGTGTCCGCGTATTTGAGAGAGTCTGTGTGTGCGCGCGCGCGTGCGCCCCTGCGGTGTCGGTAGCTGAACTTGCAGAACTTATCTGTGCGTGTGTGTATGTGTGTGTGTGCGCGCGCGCGCTCAAAGTAGGGGCCCGGGTGGCGGCAGGAGACCGGGGAAGCCTGGAGGCCCCTCACTCCAGCGGCAGGGCGTCCGTGAGACCAGGGGGCGGTGGTTGGGGCAGTGGCCTGCAGGACAGTTAAGCCTCTGTCAGGGGACTTCTAATCTGGCCGGTGGTGCGGTGGGAAGTCAGTCCGGGAAAAGGCAGTTAGTTCCCTTCCTCCACTCCCCAACCAGCACTGCAGGTTTGGAGCCCCCGGAGCCAGGCCCGCGGGCCAGGCCGTGCGGTGGACTAGAACTGCCAGTTTGGGGTCTGTGGGGCTGGTGGCACCTGTTCCTTTCCTGGTATCCTTGGTGGCCCTGGGCCCACAGCCTGAGGCGCCTGGTTTGTTCGGGACCTAGGCTGGAATAACCAGGAGTTTCTGAAGGGCAGGGTGAAGCACCAGTGAAGTCTCAGTTACCTGGGTAGGTAGGTAGAAGTGGTCGGGAAGGAGATTCTTTGAGCAGACGGGGCCCACAAAAGCTGTCTGGAGAAGCAGAGCTCTAGCTTCCAATCCTGCCTTGGCCAGTGAGACCCTGGCAAAGGCATGTCCCCTCCGAGCCTCATGGCTTCATGTGTGAAAGGAAAATAGCAATGATACTGCATTTGAGGGCTCTCAAGGAGCCGATGTGTGGGTGCTATTCAGCACCAATGTCCTCTTGGACAGGCTCACAGCTTGGGGCTGGGTTTGGGAATGGGGTCTGTCCCTAGAGGGAATTTACTGAAACCCAAATCCCTGTTCTCCCTGGGCTAAACTTTCACAGGACCCAGCCTGAACCTCTCAGCCTGGGACTCAAGGCCTCCAAGAACTGGTCCTTGCCAACCTCTCCAGTTCACCTGCTAGTAACCACATGGAATCTGCCGTGCACACTGGGCAGCTTCTTGCCTCTGGATTATTGTGTATTCTATGCTCAGTGCTTGAAATGCCCTCTTACTCTGCTCTTCCTCAGTTGGAGAACTACCCAGCCTTGAGGCCCAGCTCAGATGTCTCCTCCTCTGGGAAGCCTTCCTGGGTTCCTCAGCTGGGTTGGGTTCTGGGATTTTGCAGTCCCAGCACCGACAGCCCTGCTCCCACTTGGGCTGCCATGGCTTCTGTCTGTCTCCTTTCCAACCCCAAGGTCTGAGGCCCCCTGGAGGGCAGGAACTGGGGCTTGCTTCTGTGTTACCAGTACCCTGCACAGGGCTAAGCTGCACTGAGAGAGCAACAGCAGCTCTTGTCCTCCACCCCTGTCCCCAGCTCCCCCAGTGAAGGCTTGTCTACAGTGAAACTCCATGTCATTACAAAGAAGGGAAAACCAGAATCAGGTTGTCACAGCGGTGTCACAGCTTGCCAGAACAGTGTGTCCTGGGGCGCTACACTGAGTGTGCAGGCTGAAAATGTGGGTTTCGTCCTGAAGGGAATAGAGAGCCATGAAAGTTTTGTGAGCAGGGGAGATTCCTGGTCGGAGCACCACTTCCAAAAGCCCTCTCTGGTGCCAGGGTGGAGGATGGATGGAGCAGTGCTAAGTGCATGGAGTCAGGGCATTTGTGACATTGACACCAGAGCACACAGGCATCATTTAAACTCTGAGCCCTCACCCCCTTGTTTGAACACTTCCTTGGCCCCTCAAATGCTTTTGCTGGGGCATTTGGGGACACTTAGAACTCTCCCTCCCGCAGTGGGAGCCAGAGGACCAGCGAGTGATCTCATCCTAGCTCTGCCCCCAACTTGCTGGATGACCTTGGGGCAGTTTCTACCCTGCCCGCCTCTGAAAAGAGGTTAGAGCCAGTGAGGTCCTGTGCTGAGAGCTCGTGTGTGGGGAGGCCCAGCATGGGCGGCTCATCACTTTTCTCTCCTTCCTGCCTTTGGCGGTCCTGGGGTCCGACCTCGTGGGTTGGAGGATCTCAGTGGGAGACCCTCACAAATGGCTGTCCAGCTTGGGCTGCAGAGGGAGGCAACAGCCCCTCCACACCTGTCCTCCTACCGAGATGCACAGGGCTCTGAGGCTTCTGGACTCCCAAACACCAGCTAAAAGAGTGTGAAAACATCACCAAGACCTGGTGGACCACACGTGGAGGCTTTGATTTGTCTTCTTTCTTCACTTGTTGCTCTTGAAGAGGCCACTGTGCCCCTCCAGGTGTTGGTTTGCCATCTGTAAATAGGACATCGTGATCCTCACCTCTTCAAATACAAGGTTACTATGAAGAGTCTTTTCACTTAAATTTTTTTATTGTTGTTCAATTACAGTTGTCCCCATTTCCTGCCCCCCACATTATTTTCTCCTACCCTGCCCACCTCCCCGCTTCCACTTTCAATCCTCCCCCCACCATTGTCTTTGACTATGGGTCCTTCATACATGTTCCTTGACTTGACCCTTCCCCTTCTTGTCCCCTTTATCCCCCTTCCCTCTGGTCACTGTCAGTTCTTTATTTCCATGTCTTTAGTTCTATTTTGCTTGCTCATTTCTTTTCTTGATTAGGTTACACTTATAGGTGAGATCATATTGTATTTGTATTCTACCACCTGGCCTATTTCACTCAGCATAATGCTCTCCAGTTCCATCCATGTTGTTGCAAAGGGTAGGAGCTCCTTCTTTCTTTCTGCTGCATAAAATTCCATTGTGTAAATGTACCATAGTTTTTTGATCCACTCATTTACTGATGGGCACCTAGGTTGCTTCCAGCACTTGGCTATTGTAAATTGTGCTGCTATGAACATTGGGGTGCATAGGTTCTTTTGCATTGGTGTTTCAGGGTTCTTAGAGTATAATCCTAGCAATGGAATTGCTGGGTCAAAAAGCAGTTCCATTTTTAGTTTTTGATGAAATTCTGTACTGTTTTCTACAGTGGCTGCACCAATCTGCAATCCCACCAACAGCATACTAGGGTCCCCTTTTCTCGCTATGAGGATTCTTACGATAGTGGTCAGAAAAGGACTTTGTAAGCTGTAGAATGCAATGCACAGGGGAGAAGTGTGATCTCATAGACTTAAATGTGTCTCGAAGACAATAACAGAAAATGGATGCAATAGCAAAGGATCACACTGATTTGAGGAATTTTTTTAAAAATCATTCACATTTATTTATTTATTAAAGAGAGGGAAAAGGAGGGAGAGAGAGAGGGAGAGAAACATCAATTGGTTCCCTCTCATATGCACCCCAATGGGGGACCAAACCCAGAACCTAGACATGTACCCTGACCAGGAATCGAACTGGTGACTTTTCACTGTGTGGGATGCTGCCCAACCAGCCACTCCAGTCAGGGCTGGTTTGGGGAATTTTAACTGTTGACTGCCTACTTCGGCCCATGCCCCTCTGCTTACTAGTAGCAATTTACAAATGTCCCTCCACCAACTCTGCTAGGGAGGAATTATTATTTCCATTTTGCAGATGAGGAAAGAGGGGCTCAGGAAATAAGATTACAAAGCCAAGACAAAAGCTGGGGCTCCTGCCTACGGGCGCAGTTTAACCTGCCCGTTCAAGACGAAAACCCTATCTCGATGCAGCCTGGGCCTCTGGCTCTCAAGGTGAGGGAAGTTTGGATTCTGCCCTACAAACCTGTCCTTAGGTCTTGCCTGTGGCCTGATTCCCCAGGTGCTGATAATACAATGCCCGCCCAGGCCTGCCCACAGAACTCGGGAAGCTTTGTT